TGTAAAGCATTTGACATAAATTGCTTGGAAATAAATATAATTAAAGGGTTGTAACCACATCTATGTAAATAGAAGTGCCAACTCTATAATCACTTCTTTCTCCATTCCATTTTTCATGCCGCTAATAAATATTGTGCTGTGATGACTGTGTCCCACTTCCACTACAAACATTAGCTGTTCTTTTAAAATTCTTCTTCTCTTCAAGCCTTCTAAATATTGTGGAACATTGTGATAACTGTAATTTACCTAAGCTTTGTTGTTGGAAACTCTATTTTAAAGGGTTGTAAACATGTTTTAAAACCAATGTAGGATACACTTAAATAGAACACATTTTTTTTTCAAACTGATTTAGCATAATTCACTATAATTTAAAAGATGCCATTTTATATTTAATATTATAACTATTTCATTTTCTTTACTTGCTGGCTCACTAAAAAGTGCTTGGTTTATCACCCAAAATTCCCATTAAAATCAACAATAAATAGTGTGTAAGGAATACTGAACAGGATCCTAAAGAGTTAAAGGAAACAAAAGTGTTTCATGAACAAAAAAGTTGAAAATTACTTTCCCCCATTGAGCTAAAATGCAATTGAGAAATACAGTTGCTTCTCCAAGTTGCTATGAAACCTTGTCATATTGAAAGTTAGGAAACAGTTGAAGTATCAGTAAAGGCAGGTAAAGAGCCAGGAAAACAGGCATCGGCAAGGGCCTTCTAAGAAAGAACAAAGCACTACTAGTTTTAATGGTCCTCAAAACCAAATATACTATTTAATTACCAGCATGCCATTCTGTTAAATGGAAGTACCATCTAATTAATCAGTAGTATTTCCTGTTATTATTGAGCTTCATTATATTCTATGAAAACATGCCAGTATGATGGTGATGAAATAAATTTAAATACTTAAATAATAGTGGCTTGCCTGCCAGTTTTGTTAGGCTACATCTATAATGCAGTGCTATTTCAGGATATTGGAGGTATTCCACGACTCTTGAGTGCATCCGTTATTTCAAAATATGAGCTCTCTATTCTGATGTCCCTGTAAACCTTATTCCATGAGGAGTAAGGGACATTTTGGAATAGCAATTTATTTTGAAATAAGTGCTGTGCAGACAGTGCCAAACTTCAAAATAAGCATTGAAATAAGATATGCAATCTGTGTGACCTGCTGTGAAGTATAGATGCACCAGTAGGGTAAATAAGGCACTTCAAAAGTGCAGATGAAGCGGGGATTTAAATATCCCGCACTTCACTTGTATAATCACGTCATGGTGCTCTTTTGAACAAGCACCATTTAAAAAGTAAAACCGTGGTCTAAACACAGTTATTTTGAAAACATCAGGCTTTTTCAAAAGATCCTGTACTCCTCAAAAAATGAGAAGTACGTGATCTTTTGAAAAAGCCTGGCATTTTTGAGGAGTACAGGATCTTTCGAAAAAGCTTGCCATTTTAGAAAGAACCGCATCTAGATCACAGTTTTACTTTCGAAATGACACTTGTTCAAAAAAGCGCCATGATCCTATTATGTAATTGAAGCACGGGATATTTAAATCCCCGCTTCATTTGCACTTTCAAAGTGTCTAATTTACATCCCTCTGCTGACAGAGGGATGTAGTCTAGACACAGCCTCGTAGATTAGAATTAAGACTAGCTTTCTGTTTAAAACTGGACTCTTCTAAGTGCTCTAAAATAGCAGTTCCCAATCACTGGGCCATGGCCCACTGCCAGGCCAGGACCTCTGGCTGCAGAGAGTGCTCTGTGGGTTGGGGTACACCTTTCTCACCAAGGCTGGTGGGAGAGGTATGTCCTACCCCGCCTTTCAGCAGTGCAGTAAGGAATTCCTTCCATGCAGGGAAGCAGGAGGAGACCCCGTACTGCTCAGCCTTCCTGCTGCACAGGGAACTGCTCTTCTGCAACTGGAGGAGACATTGCTCCTGCTTGGTGCTGGTTGGCTGACAGGCAGGGGCAGAACACACGTCTCCCAACAGCCACAGTGGGAGGGGAGGGACTGGGTGGTGTACCCTAACTCTGGCCTCTATAGCCACTATGACACATGCAGGACTAGGTGAGGGGAGCGGAGCAACACTGGGGGCTCCAGGGGTGAGGCTAGTGCTGGGGGGGCTGTGGAGGCTGAGCTAGTAGTGGGGGGATGGGTTCAGGGGGCAGGGCTGGCACTGGGAGGCTCGAGGGATGGGACTAATTTTGGGAGATGGCACTGGGGGAAGCTCTGGAGGTATTGGGTACAGTGGGACTCCCAACTGGAAACAGGAGCCTGGTACTGGACATCTGGTGTTGGGAGGTCTCTAAGGGGCAGGGGGCTGGCACTGGGGTGCTCTGAGGGTGGGAGGTTGGACTGTGGGAGTTGGGCATAGGGGACTCTGGGGTCACTGACTAGCGCTGGGGGATAGTGGAGGGGTGGAGGGCTTTAGGGGTTAGGGCTGGCTCTGGGGGCTCTGGGGCCCAGTGATTGGGAACTGGGCTTTTGGCATACTGGTAATGTTTCATTTGCATATTTACATATTCATTCTTTGCACGATGACTATGCAAATAAAATGTTGCTGTTCCTCCAAAAGTTTGTGAATGGGTTTGCTGGTCTCCGGTATCAAAAAGGTTGGGAAACACTGGACTAAAACACTTGTATGAGTTATCACAGAATTACCTGGGAGCTAGCAAGTGTGATAAAACATCAGAGCCAATGACCTCCTAGCTTTGTACTACACTATTTAACCAGAGTTCAGCCCACAGGTAAGGACCCAACCATGTGATCCCAAGGCAAGGTATACAGGCTGCTAAAGCAAGTTGTCTCTCTAATAAACTCAATGTTGTTATGTGGCCAGGAATATTCAATTTGCCGACTAGTTTTAACAGACTCCAGCGAGGCTAGCTTGTCTCTGTTACTTCCTCATCTGACTGTCAGACAACGTTACAAGAATGTTAGGCTTGCAAGGACAAGCCCTCAAAATTTAGGAAATGCCAGGGTTAAGTTTGCCTGTGTATGTGAAATAGCAGTTTGTAGAGGTTTATAATTCAAATGTGTGTAGATTTTCATGGGGATAACATAAGGCAACATTTTGACCTTCTGTGTAGCCCCATCGAAATTTCTAATTTCTATTCACAAGCCTGCAGGAAATAGAATTCTTCAAAGAAATATTTAGGAACATACTTAGTGTTGGGAAAACTACTTATTTCCCTCTAAGCTCTTTATCAGAAATATCTGCCATGTCTTCACTGAACCACCAAAAGAATCCAACATTAAGCAGAAAGCAACGATAGAAAACATGGGTCTAAAGAGTTAAATTATGGCAAAGTTCAACTGAGATCAGGAGTTTATAATGGAAAGTGTTAAGTTCTTAACCAAAGGGATTCAGCTCTTAACCAGAGCTTTCAGCTTAGCCAATAAAGTAGTATTTTCAAAGATTGTGTTAGAATTTCCTCTATTGAAAAATGGAGATGTATTTCACATGAAATTTTGTCTTGGGTTTTTATTATGTAATTCTTTAAAAAAAATCTCTGTTAATATTAAAATTATGTGAAACCTTGTATTTGAATTTCAAAGGCATGCTTGTTCCAATTTTGCCTGTCAACAGAAGTTTGATCACAGAAATATAGTTTAATATGTTAATAATTCTGTAATTATGTTAGCCTTAATCCTCCAAGGAGCCTCTCCCACCCTCAAAAAAAGGGTCTGCTTACTCAGAGCTTTCTGTGAAATCTATTTAATAGCCTAAAAACAGAAGAAGTGGGGTAGGGGTGGGGAGATAAACATTAAGATTTTATACATATACTAGAATATTTATCCAGCATTGCTTGGGTCCTTCACTCAAATAAGTTTTGTTTTTCTTCATTTAAATCATTGTTCTGGGGTGGAGGTGGGGATGAGGTGTTCAATATGCAGGCTGCCCTGGGGAGAGAGAACAAACCCAACCCTCTCTCACCTCAGAAGCTTGGGCCAAGTGAGAAGTGACTGATGATGGGCACTGCCGGGAGAGGAGTGCAGCTCTCCCAGTTGAGTGACAGACAGACACGCAAACTCTCTGAAATATATAGTATATAGTTGTCCCTTTCTTCACCACTGCCTCCTGCTGGCACAATGGTTTATAATTGTCCTTGTCCCGAACTCTGGCCTATTGCTGCCCCCCTGTGGTCATGCTTCAGTATAAGTCCCTCTTACCAGACTCCTCCCTTTCCATTTTATGAGAAATAATTTAATTCCATAAGCATCCCATTATCCTAGCACAACCAAACCCTTACCTTGCTTTAATTTATGATAAGAGGATGCTGTATACCAAATGTGGTGGCCCTAGCTCTTATTATTTAAGAGGAGTTCTTAAAGAAAAGGACTTACACTTAGAGCTGCACAGACAGATAGACAGATGTACATTTATAAAATATATAGTAATACTACAAGGAATTGTTCAGAAACTATGGCCTGATTCTGTAAGTAGATCCTTGAGGGTCGAACTCTACATCCATGTGAACACAGTGGGAGTGTCTAGACTACAAGGTTTTTTTTGAAAAAAGTGGCCTTTTTTCGAAAAAAAAAACCCCAAAAAACTTCCCCTATATCTAGACTGGTGCCACATTCTTTAGAAAGTAAATCGAAAGAACACTGCAGGGTTTTTTCTACCATTAAAAACCTTGTTTTACAAGGAAGAACACGTTTTTCACAAGTGTTCTTTCAAAAAAAGGCACTATGTAATGCAAACTGCTTTTTCGAAAGAGAGTATCCAGACTGCCTAGGTGCTCTCTTTTGAAAAAGCGGCTTGCTTTTTCAAAAGTACTGGTTGCAGTCTAGACGTTCTTTTTCAAAAGAGGCTTTTTCAAAAGTATCTTTCAAAAAAGCCTCTTTTAAAAGAGGCTTGCAGTCTAGACGTAGCCATACAGAGAAAGCAGGATTTGAGACCTAACAGATTAATTTGTTAAGGTTCCTGAATGTTTTTCTGATGTGCAACATTAACATTAAATTGAAACAGATCCACTTGTTTCAACAGATACATCATCCTTGGCAATCTGATAAGATGGGAACAAAACCTGTTCTTGTAGTCCATGGTGGAGCTTGGGCAATACCAGATGATTTTGCTGAACGAAGCATTCTGGGAATGAAAAATGCAGTGAAGAGTGGCTTTGCACTACTAGAAAGAGGAGGAAGTTCAGTGAAGGCTGTAGAAATTGCAGTGAAAGCCTTAGAAAATGATACCGTGTTTGATGCAGGTTTGTAGTAACTTTTTATAAATTAGTAGTAAACTCTTAGATATGTGACCCAGCAGACAGGAGACCACTGATGAAGGAGAGCGAAGTCTGTTCTATGGCCTTAGCTAAGAGACAGTTGGTTTCTAGATCATTCATTACAGGTACATAGCTCTCTCATTACAGGTTCACCCCTACCTACTGACAAGCTGGGTCCATTGGCTTTAAAAATACTTTAAATCATCTTGGTTTACATATTTCTACAAGGTTTCCCCAAGAGTTCTACTTTGTGTTTATCTTTTATGCTACTTCTTAAGTGTTATTCCAGCTGCCCACCAAAGATCCTTATTTACACAGGTTTCCCATGGAGCTGATTCAGTGCTGGTTGCTATGTTTCTTCTTCATGCTGTTCAGTAATTGCTATTTTAAAAAACAAATATTTACTCTCGTGTGGGTGGTTGTGAGATCTATAGGTAAGGTTTCACTTTACCAGATAGCCTCTTGATTTTTAGCAAGGGCACTGAAAAATATTTGAGGCTTCTTGGTGTTTTTTCTGATTGATTATTTTACAATTCAATTTCAAGATTTCATCTATTGAATCAGAGTTCTTAATAACATCAGCCCACAAAACAAGAAACCGTACAGGTTAGTAAATCTTTAAACAACTCCCATTACTGTGGTGCTTCCCAGGGGGATGCAGGGTTCTGAGGCACCACACTACCACCTGCTTTTAGTGTGAGGGACCCTTGTCTTTAGTAGGGATGTCAAAATGCACGTAATTAAATAACTGTGTAACTATTGAAAATTTAATCGGTTACACGGTAACACATGGAGCAGCAGTTGGCTTCCCAGGAGCCTTGTGCACTGGCTCCCACCAGCCCACCATCCCATATCAGAGGAGCTGGTATATACTGGGAGCCAGCTTTTAAGCTGTTTGTACTGGGAGCCTGCGTGTAACTATGAGGGTACGTCTAAACTACATGCTTCTGTCGACGGAGCCATGTAGATTTGTTGTTTTGGCAAAGGCAAATGAAGCCGCGATTTAAATGATCGCGGCTTCATTTACATTTACATGGCTGCCGCGCTGAGCCGACAAACAGCTAATCAGCTGTTTGTCCACTCAGCGCACTAGTCTGGACGCTCCCCTGTCGACATCAAAGCCCTTTGTCGGCAGCCCCGGTAAACCTCATCCCACGAGGAATAACGTAAACCGCATCCCACGAGGAATAACGGGGCTGCCAACAAAGGGCTTTGATGTCGGCAGGGGAGTGTCCAGACTAGCGCACTGAGCGGACAAACAGCTGATCAGCTGTTTGTCGGCTCAGCGCGGCAGCCATGTAAATGTAAATGAAGCCACGAGCATTTAAATCGCGGCTTCATTTACCTTTGCCTATGTGTCTAATCTACATGCCTCTGACGACAGAGGCATGTAGTCTAGACACAGCCTGAATGTTAACCAAGGATCCCAGGCTCCTTGGTTATCCACATACACAGTTACACTTTCACATCCCTAGCCCATGGAGCCTGGTGCAGATACAAAATGTCTATCCGAAGATATAAAACAGATATTCATGCAGCTGCAGGCCTATACCAAGAACCCTGGGGCGAAAGCCACAGCAAGTCATGCTGCTGTTCTCAGGAATAAGTGCTGAGCCAGGGCAGCTCCTCTGATGTGGTTGTACCACTCTGGCCCTTCCCTAACGTGACCAAGAAGAGCTGCTGAGAAGCCTAGTTCCCATCCCAGTGAGAGGGGATGGGGATAGTACAGCCACCCCAGAGGAGCCGCCCTGACTGGGGTCTGGCTCCTGAGAGCAAGCAGCCTGACATGCTGCTGCTTTCATTGCTGCAGTACTTTAAGTAGAGTCCTGGAGCTCCGTGAATATTAGTTTTATATCTGTGCATATCTGCATCCACACATAACAATTTTGTATCCATGCAGGGGACTACTTGTCTGAGCTTCTTGTAGGTCAGTTCCCCGGAAACATAAGCTCTGCCTTCCAGGCTTCCACAGGCACTGTTTTATTTTTACAGATGAACGGTAGTCACACATCAACACCCCTCCTTACTCCGCCCAAGTCTTTCAAATCTTGGCATGCCTACCCCCTGATGTGCTGGACACTCACAGAATTCCCAGCTCCTTTGTTTCCAAAAGAACAAAACAGCACAGTTTACCAGTTATGCTGGAATACACAGCTCTGTTTAACACACAGCACTTATACTTGCTTTCTCTACAAATAAATCTAGGTTTATTTAACAGACAACAGAGATTCAAATGATAGCAAGCAGAAAAATTGGAAACAAAGAGCTACATATCAAACTGAAACCTAGCATGAATATTAGAACCTTCACTACTACCAAGTCATTGCCATGTCATATAGAGTGAAAGCTCATATAAAAGCCATCCCGGGTATTACAGCCACAACTGGCTGTGTTTTCTATTCAAGAGACAAGCTGAACTTCTCTTCTTGCTTCCTCCACAGAGATCTAGAGTTTGTCTCTTACCCTAAGTTATAGTCCAAAAAGCCATAGTCTTCCCTTGCAAAAAAGGTAATTTCTGCTTGTTTTCCTGTCTAGAATCTCCCCTAAAGACTTTGCAAACACTCTATCGGTGTTTTACTCAGACTGTAACTAGACATTCATTGTGAAACATACAATATTCAGTTCCATCCCCCATCCCCACCTTCCCTGTGCTCTGGGGCTGGGAAGGCTGAGGCCATGCGCCACCTGCTCTCCTCATGCTTCAGGCTGGGGAGGGTCAGGCCATGTGCTGCCTCATCTCCCCATGATGGGGGTAGAGCCTGGGCAGAAGGGGCAGTGCTGGGAGGGTTGTGGACTTGTCTCCCTCAGCTCTACCTTTACCCATGGACCATGCTCATTTTACACATAGATAGACTGATAAACATCTTGTGCCTGGCAGAAACTTGTTTATCGTCTTCTGGTGACCAGCCCCAAGTCACAAACCCTAAGAACATAGTGTTCAGTTATTCTCCATACATACATGTCAGAGGCTGTGTCCAGACTCCATGCCTCCTTCGACGGAGGCATGTAGATTAGCCACATCGGCAGAGGGAAATGAAGCCGCGATTAAAATAATCGCGGCTTCATTTAAATTTAAATGGCTGCCCCGATCTGCCGATCAGCTGTTTGTCGGCAGATCGGGAGAGTCTGGACGCGATGCCCCGACAAAGAAGCCTTTCTTCATCGACACAGGTAA